GCACTTTCGTTCTCTTGGTGGATAGAAAAAAGAAACAAATAAGATCTTAGCATAAGATTTCACATGACCTTGAAACTGGACAAACTCGTCGGGATTACTTTGACCTCTGCGGTCCGAGTGCTGAAAGCGTTTTTACACGGTTTTAAAAAGGGACCAAGCTCGTAATACATGGTAATTTGTTAGCGGGAGCGGAAAAGGGAATAAGTGTGTGCCCTTACGTAATATAAATAAAGGTCTTATTATAGGTAATGTAATGTACTGTAATAAAATGTATTATAAATAAAATGCTTTTTTTTCTAATAAAATAGAATAAAATGAACTATGAAAATAAAGAATAAACCTTTTTTTTTTTGCTTTTGATTTCGTCTTATATTTAGTGAATTTTGGTCTGAAATATGTGGAGTGATGACGAAGCACTGTATTTGATGATCACGAATCAGTGAGTTTGGGGAACTGTATTCAAAAAAAGATTTATTCACTGGTTCACTTTTTATTTTATTTCTTCTCAATACACTATATGTCGAACTACTTAATTTATACCCGAATGGTTATTAATCAGCCACTCCGAGGTCATATCATAAAGAAAGCCTTGTTAAAAGAGCATTGTCTTGCATTTATTTTGTAATATCGTTCGATACAATATGACCCCTGAACACACGAATTTTCGATACTGTTTTGACTTATGTCGAATGATCACATTTTATTCTTCCATATAAGCTATAATTTTCATTCATAACATAACGTTATATTCTAAGTTTTCATTCTCTAAACCACTTTTAACTAGTTTTTATTTTGCTTCACTGTCATAACACACTTTTAACTAATATTTGTCTTTTACTTATTTTCCATAATAGTGAAATCAAAAAATTATTATGGTTATAGTGCCAAAAGTTATAGTTACATGTAATTATAGTTATACCATAGTAGTAAAGACACGAACTGAGTCAGATGAGATGTCATCATAATGAAATCGCCATTTCTGAATTCAATCCTCATGTAAGTCTTCATTTTTATTTCCATCTATTTATATCGATTGACTTTATTAATCAATCTTTATTTTTGTATATTAAATAGACAATTTTCATCCAATCATTTTTTAGCCACAAAATGCAGTCGCATTCCAAATTTCAAGTCCTTGAAAGAAGAGAAACTTATGCTGTTGAGGTTATAGATCAGTCATTCGCTCACTTGTTAAATCAACGTCAATTTTGTTTAATAAACTTCTAAAAATAGCCCGATGCAATAAGAGCAATTGACGATGCTTTTTCACATAAATTCATCTCCGTCCTCTAATGCTTCCAAATCCATACTACATCAGTTCTACTGAAGATCAACAAACATTTTACTCCCAGAAAACACTCCCACGCTCTAATACTTAACTATGCTTATCAAAAAACCACAAGAATTTTTTTTTATTACACAAACGTAGAACAAAAACGTCCTATCTACTTTATAGTTCACTGCCATTAAAATCCATTTTTTTTTAAGTACAAGTAAACCATTATATTTCTAGAGTTCTATATCATCAAACAAGTCGTTGAAGGGTTCCAATTACAATTTTTTGATTCCACCTTTAAATCTTTGTCATGATGTACAAGTGATAGGACGTAACAAATTACAATAAATGTGCGTTACCCCAATGAGATTCTTAATAACCCATGGAAGGTTTCATTACATCCCTTATGCTTTCGTATAAAAACAATATTAAAGTTAAATGCAATTTAGCATTTTGCTTAACCCATATTCGGATTCTGGATCATCAGGTGAACTATTCGTGGTAACACAACTACTGCACAGTAGTTTTCCCTGGCATGGCATCTAGCATATTAAACTAAATATAATGTTTTGCGGACCAGTGTAAGGCATTGGCCCACCAAACATGCTCTAGAAGGCACGAAGCGAGTAGTTCATTTGAAATTAAAAAGAATCAACTGCATTCTGGTTTAAAGACAACAATCTTGATCACTGAACATCACCGCTCTGTACTTTATGAATTCTACGATTCTAAGATTTGAAATTATATTCGAAATGTTTGCTAAACTAAACACGAAGTGCTTATGCTAGTTTTGAAATGCATGTTTATGCATATTAGAAATAGGATAGGTTATGAGGAAAATCAGCGAAACTGATACGCCTGAAATTGATGAGCTGGCTTGATATGATTGATGGGTGTTATTAAAGAAAAGAGTAAATGCGAACGTACGTAAAAATCTTATCAAGTAGTTTCCACTAAGAAAATTGCATTACGTACAGCGATGAATTCCAAAGTAAACACTTCTAGCAATATTACATGTAATTTATATAGGATAAAATGTAAAACTCTCTAAATTAAGGTCGCTCGAGGTAATTTCTCTACCTTTTTGTACATTATCCGCAATTTCCTTGGACATTTTTTAGAAAATTTACAACGTCTTGTACAAATAGCTTGTGCTATCGCCGGCCCTTCGTTAAGGTAACGCCTTTCACAACAAAGGGTGTCCTCACGTAAAGCATTTTCCGGTACTTAAAATCTTATCTTAAACGCATTTACGCGCTTTATACTGCTTATCAAATTAGGTATGGAAAATGAGAGATAGAACAGGGTGTAATAAACACGGATGGGTGGATATATATTTAAAGTTTCTCAATTGCGTTGTTTGTAGGGTTAAGATCTTTTCTATTATATTTCCAATTAGATTCTCTTACTCGCGAACGAATGAAGTGTCATATATTTTTAAATCATGAAATTCAACAAAAAGCGCAGGAATAAACTTAAATTTCCTAGATTTATAACTTATATTAAAAAAAATACATCTCAAGGGTGTCAGAAAGGGATGTGTGGCTTCACCGTGGCAATTCTATCTATTCATGGATAGCTGTCTACATAAAAGGGAAATGAACGTCTATATCAGTAAGACTAAGACGATGGTGTTTGATAAAGGTGAATTTTTCATCATATTTTATTTACATTTAATTATAATACATATACTACATTATGTTCAACAACTTGTTGCTATTTTGTAGGTAGTAACATAATTCCATTGCTGTGAAAATTTTGGAACTTATGATCAAAAAAGTGCGACAATTAGTTTTGACCGACCTCTCTTGATGTTAACTTAACATTACCAGTGTAGTTTACGCGTGTGACCCTTCTGTGTATTTATATATGGCCATATAATTTGGAAACAGCAGTGCTTTGTTCTCTAAAGTAATGTATACTATCTTATGTTTGTAATTTACATTGTCACATTTAACATTTCTTTACTTTTAAATTTTGATACATACTCAGTTTTGTATTGCCACAGAAAATGTCTTATAACTTAAGATTTGCCTGTTTATTTATTTTTGTATTCAGGTACTCCAAATATTTTTCTATTCAATATGAACGCAATTGAAAAAGAGTATCTGTGAATCAGTAAATATTTTACTAAAAAACTAGTCTTAAATAAATTTAATTTAAAGAGAGAAGGGAAAGTGCGCCACCGGAACTTTCACTCATTGGACGAAATGCGACATCGAAAGATGTTACTTCACGTCCGAATTCTATAAGAGTGTGCTATTTCACAGATCGAACCGACTCATTTTTGTGCTACAACCAAATTGACCACGGTATGGCTCTATCACATTTAAATTGGCACTAGTAATTACTTTTTTAATATTCATGGACTATTTGAATGGCTTTTTTCCTTTTTCTTTAGGACTACATTAGAGGTCCTTAAGAAATATACATCTAAAAATTAACATAAATAAGACCAAAATTATGTTCTACTTTGTACGAAGATCGACCATATAGTACCCACTCCAAATATTGTTGTAAATTATTGGTCAGGCAGGTTCAATAACCGATATATTGCGATAATAGAATTAGTCTGAACTGCTCTCGTAAGAATATTTTCTTCTTCAGCAGAGCGCAGTCCCTAAGAACAAAAATGTTTGACCATTATATTTTGCCAGACATAATGGTCAAAGCCCCTAAAGTAGGTCCGTTTAACAATGTCAAATTTTCTCAACGTACAATAAGGGCCATTGGACTTTTCCGCGGAACTATTATGTCTCGCAAAGACATAATTTTCTCAGTTTCTCACTTCGGCTAATGTCGAAGTGAGAAAATGAAAGAATCCGAGTGACCGACATTATTCAAGAAGTTGTTGAGTTGGAATGGGAGTGACGTGGGAAGGTCACATTGCTGGCCGCGACGAGTGCTAAGAATAAGGCTCTCGAGGTCACTCTCAATTAATAGGTAGACTTGGATAGTCGGTAATGGAACTGTAGAGGGTAGATTTATGTTCAGCAGTGAACAGACATCAGACACTTGACTGCCTGGATGGCGCGGTCGGTAATGACCCTACGTGCTGTACTGAGAGTGTGGGTTCAATTCCTGCACAAGACAAACATTATTTAATTAATATTGTCTTAGGTCTGTGTGTTTCTACGTACTATGTGTACTTGCGCCATTCGGGCAGTCAAATGCCTGGTGTCTAATCCCTGCTGTAAATAAATCAACTCTTTATAGTTCCATGACTGACGTTCCAAATGTACCTTATCCATTACGAGTCTTTGTCACACCCGGTTGGAACAGAGTTTCTTTCGCTATATACGAATATATTTGATGAATTAAATATTAAAAATGAAATTAATTAGAGCGTTTGAAACCATCTGTTTCATTTTTTTAAAGACTCCTTAAAGACTTTGTTAAGTTCTTCAATTTGCACAATTATGTAATTATGAAATCAATAAAAGATATCACTTTCACATATTTGTGTATGTATTTATTGAGAGTTTAAAACTGAGTACTCTCCGGAACTGAAACAGTCCAATAATTTAATTTAATATTTTAAGAGAAAGAGGGAATCATAAGTCATATACAAGCACAATGAAATAAATTGATAACCCTTGAAAGTAATGACATCAAAAATGCTGCAAAATGAATGCAGGAACGGTAATAAAATATTGTAATAAAAATTTATTTCAACATTTTATTATAAATTACTATAAAAAGAATGCAATACCAAAAAAATTTAACATCACGCGGTGTTTCCAGACGGTCACTTATCCAATTACTGACTGCGCCCAACGCTGCCTAACTTCGGTTATCGGACGAGAACCTGTGTATTTAGCGTGGTATGACGTTAGCAAACAACTTTATAAAAATGTTAACTAAGGCAAGAGCGGTCAGTATTTTTCGTTGCGGTTACACTTTTTTTCGTGTAGCTCCCATCTGCCGAGCGCCTGAGTGTAATGTGAGATATTAAGAATTTCGTTCCAAAATGATTCTATCTACTGTCTGATACCCAGTGATCACTAAGTGGATAACTTTCAAATGCCACAAATAGCGTTTCTATCGGTTAATCGTCGAATAGTTACAATAAATTTACATACACCATAGTAGATATACGGTATCTACAACAGTGTATGTAAACATATCAGCCAAGTTGGCCAAATTGGACTGAATCTGTAGCCAACTTGGCTGCAAAGCTTGGCTGGCTTTAAAATGGGACGGCTCGACCGCTATAATATTACACTTTCATAAAATACAGGCGTAAAGTTGCAGCTTACGCTGTTGCATTTCGTCCAGTGAGTGAGAGTATCGGTAGCCTACTCCCTTTCATCACCCCATTCCCTCTTCATTAATCCACTCTTGTTCATATTTCCTATTCTTGTCCATAAGGCCGGTAACACATTGGTGACTCCTCTGGGGCTGCAAGTGTTCATAGACAACGGTGACCGTCTAGTCTTCAAAGACTCACTTCAAGGTCACTAGATAGTAACTCACCTGTCTGTTTGCCCTTCGACAATATTGTAAAGAAACACACACTCGCACGCACACACACACACACACACACACCACACACACACACACCTGAACACACACCTACAGACGTACAGATATAACTCAAAAAAAGATTAATATAGAATCTTAGGACGACAAAATATCAAGATCTGATGAAAACTCGATTTTCAAAAATCGAACTGAAAACAATATCTTCCAAAATCATAATTTATTTTAAATTTTAGTTGTTGGAAGTTAATAATAGAATACAGTTCCTGCATTTCACTTAAAAGATTTTCTAATCAAAACACTACGTAGCGCAAAATCTTTCATGAGATCTACGTTTAAAATTTCATTTTTCAGCTAAACGTGAAAGTGAGTCTAATTGGGAAAGACAGAGCTAAAAGTGTAATTAGTTATTAAAGCAAACCGGACAGAATAATAAATCAACTAAATAAGAAATATCTTTTCAGTAACTTTACACTCATTTTTCATTTCTTAAAAAATTGATTAGAATTTGTGACAAGCACTTGTAACAAGCGATATTTTTACAAATAAACTTCTTCTTGAATTAGTTATGTAAATAATCATATTTATTTTCAATCAAAATAGGCATTATTAAAACGTAATGAACGTATAAAACATAACGTAATTACCTATTATGAGAAAAATGTCATTTTGTGTTATTTAATTATTATTTTATTGTTTTTAATTGTTCGTGTCTTTTATACATATTTCCCGTAGCCACATTGAAAAATGAACTCGAATGATCCTGAGGAATAAATTTCAATAAACCATTTATTGAAATGTATTCCTCAGAATCATAATTTTCATTTCGTCAGAATTCTCTATATACTCTCAAGATGCCTGAGGCGAATACAGAAGTAACCCAATTCGAATTATATAATCAAGTACAAATAGAAGTTAATAATTACTGGCAAACCCTAAAGAATAAAATGTATTACTCTTTGGAAGGCTCTCAAAACCGACAAGTCTCAAAAATTACTAATGCTAAAATTAGACCAAAAGTATCCCAGCCACAATTCTTTCACGTGATGATTGGCGCGCCGGTGACCTTGAACCGACGAACCGACCTGAGCATGGCAATAGGGTTGACACAAATAAAACATAAAATAATATAAATACTGAATGAGGAAAATTACAATTTATATAAGAATTACAAAACACAGTGAGTTTGAAAGCAAGGCTTTTAAAAGATAATTCTAGTTATCTATTTATCATGTACTTACATTGATATACTTTGAATTCTATAACTGATTTTTATATTTTAAAATGAAATATGTATCTTTATGTAAATGAATAAATTTATATGATTGCGCGTGAAACGTGAAGAGACTCAGCCCTGATTTGAAGCAGTCTGGAGATTGCCCGTTCCACACGCGGCGTGATCACCGTACAATTTCTTTAGCTTTTAATATTAGGATTATTTAAATACAGGATTATAAATAAATAATTGAATTTTATATAATACTAGCTGGCCCGGCAGACATTGCCCGGAGCTGCGCCGGCGTGGACGTATAATGAATTCCTTCATCTTTTGTGTCGATTGATTTCTAACTGAATACCCGTATCGCTTTCGATGCCGCAGCCGGTCACACATTTGACTGTACTCCCGACCCCACATCCGTTTTCCACCCCAGTTCCGCTCTCCGTTTCGGTCCCGGTCCCGCTTGCGATTCAGTTCCGATCAGATTCTATTCTCGTCCCGTGCGTAATTCTCTGCCCCACCCCGCTTTCAATCCCGATTTCGCTACCAGTCACAATTCCGCCTTAGACGACGCCGAGAGTAAATGCCTAATATCGAAATCTATATTGATATATAATGTATAAAAGGATGTTTGTATATATAAAATCTATAAACTCAGAAACCATTTGACCAATCATTATGACTATTAGTATGTACATGTATTTTTTCACGGAGAAGGTTTTTATGCTATTCCCATTGACGCAACTCGCCACCAGGTGGTGCACGAAAAAAAATGCATGTACATGCTAATAATCATAATGATCGGTCCAATAGCTTCTGAGTTTATCGATTTCATATGTACAAACATCCTTATATATATATAGATTATTCATTTCAACAAAACGTATTTTTTTTATGTTTTGATTAGGGAAAACAAACTAGCCCGTGTTCACTTCAACTTACTGTTGATTATTATAATTCTTATGTGAAGATTCTGATTTCGGATTTTATTTCGCAGGAAAAACACTGAAAATGTATCTACGTCGCATATCGGGTGAACCTGAACTTGTGTACGGAACAAAGAGTAAGATATTAGGTCTATTAAGTTATTACAATTACTTACAATTATATTTTTTGTCAAATTACTTTGCGTTAATATCCTTTGGCTTTTAAAAAGGAAGCGATTTGCTTAAAAATAGATAACAGGATTCACTTAAGACGGATAGGGAGAGATCTTTCTTTCAATATGTATATCACTAAAGATTGCCACAACAGCATATAGGATAAGTTTTGCTCTACAGATGTGAAAGATCTTTGTTTGTTTTCCGATAGAGAAAATGTTGTAATAAATAATATTTTCAGACTTACAGTATTTTCGTCGATTTGCAGTGCATGAAATTTTGTCCTTTTTAGTCGATTTCTTTAAAAATCTAAATTTTGTATTTGGTTGGTCTCATGACAATTTGCAGAGATTTTGTCATATAATGTTCTCTGTGGTCGAGAAGGTTCAGAAAACAGCATTGATTCAAAAGATTATATATGTCTCTATATATATATATTTCGACTAATTAGTTCAGAAATGGTGGCTATTTGAAGTTTCTAAAATACTGAAAAGCGATAATTATATGAAATAACTTTTAAACGATGAGATTGAGCCCATTTCTGTAAATAACACGTAACAGCTGATAAAATAAGCTTTCAATTCCGTTTCGTTAACTTTTATTTTATAATAATTTTTACCACTTTAATCACATCTTAAAATTGCCTGGATTCATTTTCATACTAATATTATAAATATGTTTGTTACGCTTTCACGCCAAAACTACTCAACCGGTTATCATGAAACTTTCTACATATACTCTTAAAGGTATTAGAAATAACATAGGATAATTTTTATTAAAAAAAATTTATCATATACTTTCGTACTTATACATCCTTACAAACTATAGCGTTTATAATGCCTATAACACATATTAGTGAGATCATCATAAAAAAATCTTAGTTCCAATTTACATACATTACACAATATAATTGTTCGAACATTTATAACTAGAGAATAGCTGGACCAATTTTCATTTTTAATTTGTTGGATTTGTCTCTGTCCCAAATAGCAAAATAATATAAAAACATTGAAAAATTAACAAAAAAATAAAACGCTTTCTATCATCATTATCACAATTTTCCATCACCACGCGGGTGAAACCGCGGGGTGCAGCTAGTGGAATATAAAGAGAATGTCATTACGATAGCGCCCACAATTATCAAGCGATCTTAATGAAACTTGGCACAATTACTTTATAAACGGTTAGGCTAAGCAAGTTCAAATATGAACTGATTAGTTAAAAAATGGTGGCTATTTGAAATTTCGATAATATTAAAAAACGATATTTCAATGGCTTTTTCACGAAATAACTTTCGTACGATGAGAAAAAATTTTGTTCATAAAAAAATTAAGTTTTCAACAACTATTATTATTATATCATAATTAACTATTATATCTATATATATATCATAAATAACTATTTAAATTTGTAATATTCACTGACATTTGAATAAGAAATCTACGTCCATTTCTGATTCCGACTGGCCTTTTTTTGATATGCCACCAATTTGCTCTGAATAAGGTTTTTTAAATATCGCTTGTCAACACTTCCACTACACTCATGTGCTCAATACTTTTCTTTCGCCTATCTATTTCCAATCTCCCCGTACCAGATGGTCACACTACCGCAACATCCTCTTTCTACTCTAATACAAAATTTTCATTCAATCGACATTATTCTTTGATATTGTAATTTCTATATCTATCTTTCAAGAACCCCCGATACAGGATGCATGTAAAATTCCACACCTATTAACTATGTACAAACGTGGGCATCACGAGTATTATTGCGTCAGCAGCACCATCGCGTGCCGACAAATCCGAAACAACTTTTGAATAAGTGTGGAACAATTTTTCAAAGTTGCGCAACAAGAAGGGAATTGCTAAAGAACGTGACGAAACTTGTGCGTCTTTTACGAGGAATAAGTTCTCTATTTCTTCACATACGAATGAACTTTCATCCTTCCGCTCTAAAAGCACTCGACTCCCTTTACGAACTCGAACGTTTTGTAAGTAAGGACATGCAATACTGAAATTAATATGTTTTAT